TCACCAGTTGATGCTCAATGAATGTGACCAGCCGCATGTGTTTTATTATTAATCTTCCACAGTCCGTTTAGGATAAATTAAATAGAGGCTCCTGAAGCGGATTCTAATCATAAACGGAGAGACCGTTTGCATTTTAACGCGATTACCACCACAACATTATTGCTGCTACTTCATGGATGCAGTGGTCACTGTCTGTAGGCAAAATCTTCACATAATCTGCAGGTAGAGGATGACCAGACACGGTTCCAGACAACAACACATGGGACAAAAACTGCACATGCGCAGTTGAAAACTTGTAATTTTTACTTTTAAATTTTAATGTCGTAATTTTGAGTTTAATACTCAACATTTTTACTTTCTGTAAGCTTTTTTTTTTTACATGGCGGAAACGGGATTCCATAATTGTACATAATATATCCTATATTTTTAACCTTTTTTGTTGCACAATCTGAGTGATTCTATCTATGCTAAATGTAACATGTAAATGTCTCCACTGTGAGATGAATAAAGTTTATCTTATCAGCGCTGTGTCCCAAACTGCATGGTTCAATGGCAAAAGACGTAAAGCGCATTTCGAACTATCGCACAGAGTCCTGTGTGATCCATTACATCTGGTTAGATCATCCTAAAATCGTTGTTTGCAACATTACGGGGTCTTCTGACGCGCACGCCGCTGCTGTGGCCTGGAGTTCACTGCTGCTTAACCACCGTGTGCTCAAGCACTATAAATATGTTGAGTTTCTTTATCAAACGGACATTGCTCATACACGGTCCCGTTTCCCTCCTCTCCTTCCATTGTGTTTTTGCAAATCTCTGGTTGTGGCCTCGTGGGCCTCGTGGGCCGCTGGTCCAAAAGGCCCATCCAGGACAAATAAGAGATCCTTTAAATGTTATAATGAATTCTAACGAGGTCAAACTCGGCCCGTAATGTGGCCTCACGCACAGCTGTTTTACTCACATTGGAAACCTATCATGGGTTACACATATAAGCTCCATATATTTTAGGAGTTTACATATTGTTCTCTTGTTATATTCTTGAATGGAAGCTGGTGGGAATGAGGTGGTGTGTAATTCTTTTTAAAAAAACAGAATAACTGAAAATATATTTTGTACAACTAAAAAAACGTTTATATGCGTATACAACCGGACCTGCGTGACCAAGGGAATAGGTTTGGTTTCAGCTTTGGAGACACCGGGGCCGAGACTACACCCATTGACGGGGGACCGAGGGGTCTCTCTCAGAAAAATGTGTTGTAATCATTAACCATATTTGCAATAGCTTGTTGCTTTTCATACTGATCTCAGTTTGAGAGGCAGACGGTCCACTCAGAGGGAATATGCAAACCTTGGACTAATAATGTTCTACAATAATGTTCACTCCCAAACACGCGTATACCCGGAGTTACAGGACCCTAGCCCATCAGTGACATTGCATTGTAAACCAAACACTCAATACAGCCAATGTTGGGTTACTATAATTAATTACTTTTAGATGTAACGCAGTAATGTAGGCATTCCAAACATAAAACTAACATTTGATATTATTTACTCGAAGGTCAGTAATGTGCGTTGCATTTCATTTAGCCAGAAATTAAATACTGTTTTTTGTTTGTGCCACCGTGCACTCTAAAAAAAAATGCATTGGCAAAACTTAATAAAATTGAGGCAGCATTTTGCATGCATCTTTTTAAGTTTTGCGAACAAGACTGTGTTTTAAGTATTCTTTGTAAGTCTTTTATCATTGGTCCAGCACAATTTTTTCAATACCACCAACTTGGATAATTGAGTTATAAAGACACTTTGTTAAGTATATTCAGCAAGTGTTTTAGCATCAGTTCAACTCAATTTTAACAATACTACCAACTTAAATAATTACATTGAAAATAAATCTTTTTGAATATATTCAACAAGTGATTTTCAGTCAGGAATACGTAATCTTTATTCAAATACCATCTTTTACAGATCAGATTCACAAAACGGTTCACAATTGTTAATTTTAGGCAGTAGTCTCTCACTCCACATATATATGAGAGTGGGCCAGCACAGTCACTGGTAAACATGTCCACCTTGAATTTGTTCAAAATTGAAGGGTGACACAGGGAGTATAGGACTGCTTTGGCTTGGCCCTCTCGATCATGGTTGATAAAAATAAATACAATTACTTATTTGGTCAAATTAGTTTATTCAGAATGTTGCTCAAGTATTTTGCTTTAGGACTTGCTTCATATTCAGTTTTAAAATTAATGCTCAAATGTAGAATTTTTAAGAAGTTTATATTTTTTGCTGCAATGCATTCTGGGTAGCGTCACTGCTTCGCCACATTTTGTTTTCAATCAACACAATATATTTATTTTGAATCAACTCAATATATTTATTTTGAATCAACTCAATATATTTGTTTTTTCATTAATGGGCCACCAGGCTTACAAGAGGATTTTCATGTTGAGCAAACTCAATACTTCTCCGTTGTCCAGTTATGCCAGAATATCAAGTTCAAATTTGTTACAAAAATGAGTTAGGATTCTTGTATTAACTTTTAATTGAGACAGGCATGTTTAAAATGAGTTGCGACCACACTAATTTAAGTAAAACTGGCAAAAATCAATTATTGAGTTTAGTTTAGTATGTATTTTGAGTTCAAAATACTAACCACCTGAATCATTTCTTTGAGTGTGAGATCCGTGTTGTTCCTTTCTGGTAGATAGGGGTCACATGGTCACATGCACCCTATGCCCATGGGCACACGTTCGCCAGCAAGGACCTCAAAGGCGTCGGGAAGCATGAAATGCAAACAGCACTTCTCTGCTTCTGCAGTTAACCATTGGGATCATGGTCGATATTATCATAGATCCATGATTACAGTTCATTTTAAAAAGCTGTAGCTGGACGGAGCCAGGACTGAACCAAGGAGGCTTTAAACTTAACATTTATTTTGTGTCCAAAAGTTGGTTAGAAAAAGTTGTTTTAAATGGCTGGACTGCAAAATATTGTATTGTAAGTATTGTAATGTCAGGAGCCAGGAGGGCACAGCAGATGGGGATGGCAGACATCCACCATCATGAGTCAGCAGTGGATACGGTCTGTAGGCCTCCCCCATAGGCCTCCCCCAAAGGCCTCCCCCAAAGGCCTCCCCCAAAGGCCTCCCCCAAAGGCCTCCCCCAAAGGCCAAACGCCTGAACACTGTGGACCGGAATAGTTATAGCTGTTTTTTTAACTACATCAAACTAAAAATATGTATTGATTACTCTAGATGTGATCACTAAAACTAACAGGTGTCGCAATGATGTTGTTACAGGGCTTAGACACATTAGTAAATGTGATCAATACAAGTGGAAGAAGCACCTGATGCGTCTTGACTCTTGTCGGAACCAAGATTTATTGGTTTAAATCGCACGCAAAGCATCATGAACACATTTCTTCCTCACTGGAGATTTCATATTGAACCAGTTTATGTTCATGTCCTGATCAAAATAAATAATTGTTTTCCTCAAATAGTTTACTTTTTTGGATGAATGAAAGCTAGGATCGGAGAATGTTAAAAATGTATCCGGAATAGAGATCTACTCACCTCCAAGCCCAAATAGAACAGAAAACATGATTATCAAGTTTACAGCCATCTTGGAAAAAGAAAAAATTGGTCTTCTGCGTTGACACAGCTCTGCAGCTAGCTCCCATGTGCTGTGTGTTAGCATGCTTCTCAGGCTACACTGTTAGAGTCACATGGACACGCCCTGTGTGTCCTGAGCCGTAAATTCCTGGGAACTGTTACTACGGCGACCAGCCTTCGCGGCATCAGATGGGTCAAATGCGGAGGATTGAATTGCCCTATGGGGATTAATAAAGTGCACACTTACCTTTAAAACACACTGTCTCTGTGTAGAAGATGTTCTGTTGTATTCCATAGATGCATGTGACATCACCTGCTTCTCTATCTTGTGCTTCGTTTGGTCTCTTCGTGTTTAAATTTGTCAGCCCTCTCTTATCTGATCCTAATCTGATTTCACTGAAACGTGCCAAAGAGAACCTTCATTGATCCATCAGACATTTCACAGTTTACAAATATTTTACATTTACAAAGATGTCTGTGTGAAGGCAGAGTGTTAGAAACCCTCAGAGCAGCACATTCTATTTTTATAACAGAAAAGAGACTGGGATGAAACTAGAAAGCACTTTGCCTCAGACAGTGACCAGACGGTGCAGTGGAATTCTCCCTCCTGGACTCGGTCAGGGGCGAGTCCAGTCCAATATGTGCAAATGTTTGTGTCTGAATCAGTCGCTGCAGGTTGAAGTGTGAGAGAAGAAAAACATGAATAATGATTTTATTTAGTTTATTTCAGACTTATAAAACTTGACATATAAAACTTGCACTGATATTAAACTTTCTGTACTATATTAAGGTGGGGGGGCACAAAATAACAGCCCGCGGGCCAATTCCGCATCTCTGAGACCCCTGCATTAAAACATTCTCCGCGGGAGCGCGCCCTGCACAGAGGAGAGTAACAGGAGCTAGTGGAGTTAGTGACAGGGAGATAGATAGATACTTTATTGATCCCCCGAAGGAGAAATTCAGGTGTCCAGTAGTAGCAAAAATAAAACTTGATCATTCTAAAAAAAGATAACAATAGTAATAGTCAGCCACAGCCCTTCAGGTCCCAGCAGCAGAGATGGAGCAGCCTCTGGGTGGATCAGGACGGGTCAGAGCATCACAGAGAGCAGACATCTTGTAAATCTATAGTAATAAGCCACAATATTTTTCTGTTTCCTTTGTTCAGCTGCTGTTGCCGCTGCACACATGGACCCACCACTGTCCCCCACTGTGTTGACTGCATCAGACGGAGGAGAAGTCACATTCTGGAGCCGATTGAACAACAACACTCACGCCATCCTCTCTGTTAACAACAATCTGCTGCTGAACTTTGATAATGGTTTGATACGGTACATAAACAACATGATTCGTGTGGAGGATCGGACCAGGATTGTCATGACCAACGTTCAGAAGAATGACAGCAACATCTCTTAAGCTCCGGATCTATGAACGCCCAAGTCTCGAAGAGAAACTGTACCACTTCAAACTCAATGTAACAGAGGCTCCTCTTCGAGCTTCTGGTAAATATAATACATTTACGTTTTCAAAATGTCAAATGGAGTTCAAGAACATCTTCACACAGACTAGATGAAGCATAAAAGAACACCTCCAAAAATCGATTAGTTGAGATTTAACCAATACCTTATTTCAGTCCTGTACTATTTGTATAAAAACATCTCACGCTGTCATCATGTTTGGAGATATGATAAACCTGCTTTCAATCCCTAAATTTGATTGGTTGGTAAGATATCAGGTTTTCAACAGAACATACTAAGGGCAAATAAATCCTGTTTTCTAGATTCGACATCTGCCCCTCCAGCTGCAGACTCGGGGGTGCCAGGAGAACCTCTCAACCTCATTCAGCTGTTCAGTGTTGGAGCAGTTTTCCTGAATCTTATTTGATCGTCTCGGTGCTTGCATTTTGAAAAAGGTGAGAATTTGTTTACATTTTATAATCATTGTGTTTGCATTAACTTCCACAATTATCAGCTGAAATGAATTAAATAGGATCATAATTAGGCCGGACTCAAGAACTAAAACATAATTGTGTCTTAAAATATTGTTACAATTGTTCAGTGGATTTAGATAATACTGAGAGGGGCCATGTAGATGGAAAGAGGTCAACTGAGTGAGTCCTGACCTCAAACATCAGGTTATTAGCTAAAAAATGATTTAGCTAATATAAATTCTTTAGAAGCAATAATATCAGCCGAGTGTAGGGCAGGGCGATAGGGCAAAAAAGTAAAATCTCGATTTTACGTCCTGCTTTGGATGATTTCGATTTTTAATCGATTTTCATTAAAGTCACAAAGACAGACTTTGTCCGTAAAAAATATGCTTTGATCTTTCCGCTCAATATTCAAGTTTCAAAACTATTTTTAATTTGTTTCCCCCAATACATATTATAAAACTCTTGTACAGACTGTGTCCTGTAATTGCAAATATAATTTTTGTCCTGCTGGAACTCTCATAATATCCTTCATTCGATTTAACAATTTTCACAAATTAGATTTTTTCAAAAGCCGATTAATTGCCTAAATTTGTTAAATTGCCCAGCCCTAGCCGAGTGTGAAGCGGCTGGGATGAGAATCACCTCCAAATCTGAGGCCATGGTGCTCGACCGGAAAAAGGTGCCTTGCCCTCTCCAGGTGGAGGAGTTCAAGTATCTCGGGGTCTTGTTCACGAGTGAGGGAAGGATGGAGCGTGAGATTGACAGGCGGATCGGTGCAGCGTGCGCAGTGATGCGGTCGCTGTATCAGACTGTTGTAGTGAAGAGGGAGTAGCGTCTGCATTCAGAGCTGTATCAGACTGTTGTAGTGAAGAGGGAGTAGCGTCTGCATTCAGAGCTGTATCAGACTGTTGTAGTGAAGAGGGAGTAGCGTCTGCATTCAGAGCTGTATCAGACTGTTGTAGTGAAGAGGGAGTAGCGGCTGCATTCAGAGCTGTATCAGACTGTTGTGGTAAAGAGGGAGTAGCGTCTGCATTCAGAGCTGTATCAGACTGTTGTGGTGAAGAGGGAGTAGCGTCTGCATTCAGAGCTGTATCAGACTGTTGTGGTGAAGAGGGAGTAGCGTCTGCATTCAGAGCTGTATCAGACTGTTGTAGTGAAGAGGGAGTAGCGGCTGCATTCAGAGCTGTATCAGACTGTTGTGGTGAAGAGGGAGTAGCGTCTGCATTCAGAGCTGTATCAGACTGTTGTGGTGAAGAGGGAGTAGCGTCTGCATTCAGAGCTGTATCAGACTGTTGTGGTGAAGAGGGAGTAGCGTCTGCATTCAGAGCTGTATCAGACTGTTGTAGTGAAGAGGGAGTAGCGTCTGCATTCAGAGCTGTATCAGACTGTTGTGGTGAAGAGGGAGTAGCGTCTGCATTCAGAGCTGTATCAGACTGTTGTGGTAAAGAGGGAGTAGCGTCTGCATTCAGAGCTGTATCAGACTGTTGTAGTGAAGAGGGAGTAGCGGCTGCATTCAGAGCTGTATCAGACTGTTGTGGTGAAGAGGGAGTAGCGTCTGCATTCAGAGCTGTATCAGACTGTTGTGGTGAAGAGGGAGTAGCGTCTGCATTCAGAGCTGTATCAGACTGTTGTGGTAAAGAGGGAGTAGCGTCTGCATTCAGAGCTGTATCAGACTGTTGTGGTGAAGAGGGAGTAGCGTCTGCATTCAGAGCTGTATCAGACTGTTGTGGTAAAGAGGGAGTAGCGTCTGCATTCAGAGCTGTATCAGACTGTTGTGGTGAAGAGGGAGTAGCGTCTGCATTCAGAGCTGTATCAGACTGTTGTGGTGAAGAGGGAGTAGCGTCTGCATTCAGAGCTGTATCAGACTGTTGTGGTGAAGAGGGAGTAGCGTCTGCATTCAGAGCTGTATCAGACTGTTGTAGTGAAGAAGGAGTAGCGTCTGCATTCAGAGCTGTATCAGACTGTTGTAGTGAAGAGGGAGTAGCGTCTGCATTCAGAGCTGTATCAGACTGTTGTGGTGAAGAGGGAGTAGCGTCTGCATTCAGAGCTGTATCAGACTGTTGTGGTAAAGAGGGAGTAGCGTCTGCATTCAGAGCTGTATCAGACTGTTGTGGTGAAGAGGGAGTAGCGTCTGCATTCAGAGCTGTATCAGACTGTTGTGGTGAAGAGGGAGTAGCGTCTGCATTCAGAGCTGTATCAGACTGTTGTGGTGAAGAGGGAGTAGCGTCTGCATTCAGAGCTGTATCAGACTGTTGTGGTGAAGAGGGAGTAGCGTCTGCATTCAGAGCTGTATCAGACTGTTGTGGTGAAGAGGGAGTAGCGTCTGCATTCAGAGCTGTATCAGACTGTTGTGGTAAAGAGGGAGTAGCGTCTGCATTCAGAGCTGTATCAGACTGTTGTGGTGAAGAGGGAGTAGCGTCTGCATTCAGAGCTGTATCAGACTGTTGTGGTGAAGAGGGAGTAGCGTCTGCATTCAGAGCTGTATCAGACTGTTGTGGTGAAGAGGGAGTAGCGTCTGCATTCAGAGCTGTATCAGACTGTTGTGGTGAAGAGGGAGTAGCGTCTGCATTCAGAGCTGTATCAGACTGTTGTGGTGAAGAGGGAGTAGCGTCTGCATTCAGAGCTGTATCAGACTGTTGTGGTGAAGAGGGAGTAGCGTCTGCATTCAGAGCTGTATCAGACTGTTGTGGTGAAGAGGGAGTAGCGTCTGCATTCAGAGCTGTATCAGACTGTTGTGGTGAAGAGGGAGTAGCGTCTGCATTCAGAGCTGTATCAGACTGTTGTGGTGAAGAGGGAGTAGCGTCTGCATTCAGAGCTGTATCAGACTGTTGTGGTGAAGAGGGAGTAGCGTCTGCATTCAGAGCTGTATCAGACTGTTGTGGTGAAGAGGAGTAGCGTCTGCATTCAGAGCTGTATCAGACTGTTGTGGTGAAGAGGGAGTAGCGTCTGCATTCAGAGCTGTATCAGACTGTTGTGGTGAAGAGGGAGTAGCGTCTGCATTCAGAGCTGTATCAGACTGTTGTGGTGAAGAGGGAGTAGCGTCTGCATTCAGAGCTGTATCAGACTGTTGTGGTGAAGAGGGAGTAGCGTCTGCATTCAGAGCTGTATCAGACTGTTGTGGTGAAGAGGGAGTAGCGTCTGCATTCAGAGCTGTATCAGACTGTTGTGGTGAAGAGGGAGTAGCGTCTGCATTCAGAGCTGTATCAGACTGTTGTGGTGAAGAGGGAGTAGCGTCTGCATTCAGAGCTGTATCAGACTGTTGTGGTGAAGAGGGAGTAGCGTCTGCATTCAGAGCTGTATCAGACTGTTGTGGTGAAGAGGGAGTAGCGTCTGCATTCAGAGCTGTATCAGACTGTTGTGGTGAAGAGGGAGTAGCGTCTGCATTCAGAGCTGTATCAGACTGTTGTGGTGAAGAGGGAGTAGCGTCTGCATTCAGAGCTGTATCAGACTGTTGTGGTGAAGAGGGAGTAGCGTCTGCATTCAGAGCTGTATCAGACTGTTGTGGTGAAGAGGGAGTAGCGTCTGCATTCAGAGCTGTATCAGACTGTTGTGGTGAAGAGGGAGTAGCGTCTGCATTCAGAGCTGTATCAGACTGTTGTGGTGAAGAGGGAGTAGCGTCTGCATTCAGAGCTGTATCAGACTGTTGTGGTGAAGAGGGAGTAGCGTCTGCATTCAGAGCTGTATCAGACTGTTGTGGTGAAGAGGGAGTAGCGTCTGCATTCAGAGCTGTATCAGACTGTTGTGGTGAAGAGGGAGTAGCGTCTGCATTCAGAGCTGTATCAGACTGTTGTGGTGAAGAGGGAGTAGCGTCTGCATTCAGAGCTGTATCAGACTGTTGTGGTGAAGAGGGAGTAGCGTCTGCATTCAGAGCTGTATCAGACTGTTGTGGTGAAGAGGGAGTAGCGTCTGCATTCAGAGCTGTATCAGACTGTTGTGGTGAAGAGGGAGTAGCGTCTGCATTCAGAGCTGTATCAGACTGTTGTGGTGAAGAGGGAGTAGCGTCTGCATTCAGAGCTGTATCAGACTGTTGTGGTGAAGAGGGAGTAGCGTCTGCATTCAGAGCTGTATCAGACTGTTGTGGTGAAGAGGGAGTAGCGTCTGCATTCAGAGCTGTATCAGACTGTTGTGGTGAAGAGGGAGTAGCGTCTGCATTCAGAGCTGTATCAGACTGTTGTGGTGAAGAGGGAGTAGCGTCTGCATTCAGAGCTGTATCAGACTGTTGTGGTGAAGAGGGAGTAGCGTCTGCATTCAGAGCTGTATCAGACTGTTGTGGTGAAGAGGGAGTAGCGTCTGCATTCAGAGCTGTATCAGACTGTTGTGGTGAAGAGGGAGTAGCGTCTGCATTCAGAGCTGTATCAGACTGTTGTGGTGAAGAGGGAGTAGCGTCTGCATTCAGAGCTGTATCAGACTGTTGTGGTGAAGAGGGAGTAGCGTCTGCATTCAGAGCTGTATCAGACTGTTGTGGTGAAGAGGGAGTAGCGTCTGCATTCAGAGCTGTATCAGACTGTTGTGGTGAAGAGGGAGTAGCGTCTGCATTCAGAGCTGTATCAGACTGTTGTGGTGAAGAGGGAGTAGCGTCTGCATTCAGAGCTGTATCAGACTGTTGTGGTGAAGAGGGAGTAGCGTCTGCATTCAGAGCTGTATCAGACTGTTGTGGTAAAGAGGGAGTAGCGTCTGCATTCAGAGCTGTATCAGACTGTTGTGGTGAAGAGGGAGTAGCGTCTGCATTCAGAGCTGTATCAGACTGTTGTAGTGAATAGGGAGTAGCGTCTGCATTCAGAGCTGTATCAGACTGTTGTGGTGAAGAGGGAGTAGCGTCTGCATTCAGAGCTGTATCAGACTGTTGTGGTGAAGAGGGAGTAGCGTCTGCATTCAGAGCTGTATCAGACTGTTGTGGTGAAGAGGGAGTAGCGTCTGCATTCAGAGCTGTATCAGACTGTTGTGGTGAAGA